AGGAAGAGCAGCAAAGAGAAGGGAGACCACCATGGAGTACAGGGCGGCGCACATTGCAGTATTGTTTTATGTTACACAATCTGAGGGTTTCATGTCACTTGAATGACGGACATGCTTGTTACATTGTTGCTGTGCGATTCTTCCCCGTCAGTGATATACGTTCTTACTAAATGTCCCCGCACATGTTATATGTTGTATGTTAGAGGACATGTCCCCGCACATGTTCATGTTATATGTTGTATGTTAGAGGACATGTCCCCGCACATGTTATATGTTAGAGGACATGTCCCCGCACATGTTATATGTTGTATGTTTAAAAGACATGTCCCCGCACATGTTATATATTGTATGTTAGAGGACATGTCCCCGCACATGTTATATGTTGTATGTTAGAGGACATGTCCCCGCACATGTTATATGTTGTATGTTAGAGGACATGTCCCCGCACATGTTATATATTTTGTGTGTTAGAGGACATGTCCCCGCACATGTTATATGTTGTATGTTAGAGGACATGTCCCCGCACATGTTATATGTTGTATGTTAGAGGACATGTCCCCGCACATGTTATATGTTGTATGTTAGAGGACATGTCCCCGCACATGTTATATGTTGTATGTTAGAGGCCATGTGCCCGCACATGTTATATAAGAGGACATGTCCCCGCACATGTTGTATGTTAGAGGACATGTCCCCAAGCATGTTATATATTGTATGTTACAGGACATGTCCCCGCACATGTTATATGTTGTATGTTAGAGGACACGTCCCCGCACATGTTATATATTGTATGTTAGAGGACAGATAGGTACACATGTTATATGTTGTATGTTAAAGGACACGTCCCCGCACATGTTAAATGTTAGAGGACATGTCCCCGCACATGTTATATATTGTATGATAGAGGACAGATAGGTACACATGTTATATGTTGTATGTTAGAGGACACGTCCCCTCACATGTTATATGTTGTATGTTAGAGGACACGTCCCCTCACATGTTATATGTTGTATGTTAGAGGACGGATCGGGCGATATCATTATATCCAACATGTGTACCTGACCCCTCACTTAGGTTGAATAAAATAAAAAAAATGAAATAAACCAGAAGAAACACTTTTTTCACAAGTTTTGATGATGATTATTTTTTTATATTGATTATAGTATACGGTATATACTCGAGTAGAAGCCGAGATTTTCAGCACATTTTTTGTGCGGAAAAGTGCCCCCCCACGGATGGCTTATACTCGGGACGGCTTATACTCAGATGGCTTATACTCGGGACGGCTTATACTCGGATGGCTTATACTCGAGTATATACGGTAACAAATATATTTATATTTCATCTTTATTTTCCTAATTTTGTTTTACACTTTTTTTTTTTTACAATGTTTTTTTTTTGGTCATTTTATATGAAGCGGTCGCTATGACGGCTCGATAAATTCACTTTTTTTAAAAATATGTGGCTATTAATTGGCCGCACCAAACTAAAGGCGGCCATACACGGTACAACCATCGCGGGACCTTAGTTCTTGGACCTTAGTCTTGCGATGGTTGTAAAGTGATTAAAAAAACGTACGATCTGCCCATCCTGGACAGGCAGATCGCACTCTCGATCATCGCAAGCCGCGCCCCCCGCTGAGGGGCGGAGCTTCCGATAACCGCAATGCTGAACGGGCAGCGTGCACACACCGGCCCGTTCGGCATTTGTCTCCCGAGCACCGTTCTAACCAGCCGAAAATCGGACGATTCCCGGCTGGTTTTCTAGCGCGCTCCTTAGACAAAAGACGTGCGACCGCACAGTAGAAGCGGTCGCACGTCTTCGTCCACACTGCTCGATTCTCGTACGATCGCGGGATTTCCCGCCATTCTCGTACGAGAATCGTGCGGTGTATGGGCACCTTTAGGAACAGCTAAGGCCCGGTTCACACCTGTACGTTTTGTAGCGCGTTCAATGCTCGGCGAACGCTCTGCAAAACGCTCAAACATCTAAATCCCATTGTTTTCTATGGGCGTGGTTCACACCTCGCCGTATTTCCGCCCGTCCGAACGCCCTACAAAACGGGCCGCGCCTGAAAAGGCCCAGGAGCTTCTTTGCTGCGTTTTTGTCGCGCGTTTCCATTGGGATACAGCCAAGGAGCCCTTTTTTTTTTTTTTACCGCGGATCGCAGTAAAAACGCGCGTCACGAAACGCGCATATTCGATACGCCTAGGTGTGAACAGAGCCTAATAATAACCTCAGAGACGGATCCTGACAGCGCCTCAGATTCAGATCTCACTACAAGCTCTCTGATTGGCCCGAGGATCACAACTGATACATTGTATCTCTTGTGTGAAATGTATCTAAACATCGGTCTCTGAGCTGTCACAGCGAATAGCAGGGAGGGGACTCGCTCCGCCCCCTCTCTGCTCTCTCAGGTCTCGTTCACACCTAGGCGTATTGCACATGCGCGATTCGCGGTAAAAAAGTCGCGCGACCGTCGCGCGTCTCCGAGGGCTACTTGGCTGTATCCCAATGGAAACGCGCAAAACAAAAACAGCCCAAAGTAGTCCCGGGACCTTTCCAGGCGCGGGCCGTTTTGTAGCGTGTTAGGGACGGGCGGAAATACGCCGAGGTGGGAACGAGACCATTGAATACGATGGGATTTAGATGTTTGAGCGCTTTGTAGCGCGTTCGTCGAGCGTAGAACGCGCTACAAAACGTTCAGGTGTGAACGAGGGCTAACTGAGTACAATAAGGCTGGGTTCACACCTAGGCGTATTGAATATGCGCGTTTGTCGCGCGGTTCGCGTCGCGCGTTTGTCACGCGTTTTTACTGCGATTCACAGTAAAAAAAACGCGCGTTTCCGTGGGCTACTTGGCTGTATCCCAATGGAAACGCGCGACCAAAACGGCCCAAAGAAGTGCATGTACCTTTTCAGGCGTGGGCCGCTTTGTATCGCGTTCGGATGGGCGGAAATACGGCGAGGTGTGAACCGGACCCATACATTCCACTCATTAGATATACATTGTATCTCTCGGGTGAAATGTATCTAAACATCGGTCTCTGAGCTGTCACAGCGAATAGCAGGGAGGGGACTCGCTCCGCCCCCTCTCTGCTCTCTCAGCTGTCAGATACCGGATCACTATTTAGCGGTCCCGTATTTGCACCAAGGGGTTAAACTATGCAATACCAGGAGAAAGCAGAATCCATTCAATCTTTATCCAATCAGACGAGCCCTCTGCATCTCTCCTTACCTCTACCCCGGGGGGGGGGGGACCGGATACAAAATGGCGGATTGTCCTCATATTACATATAAAAGGAGATTGTCACACGTATGACCAGAGGGAGGAAGGTACAGAAGACATCGGGATGTACGTGTCACTCCTTTATACACATCATTGTACATCACTCACATTGTATGGCTCTCGTGAAGCGCGGCCGCCGCTCATTATACCGTCTTTTACAGGTTTCTACACGGACATGACAGGTCCACTTTATAATCAGGACCCCGAGCTCCGGTCCAGCTGTATGTAACCTGAGTGAGGAAGCTCCTCCTCCAGTACATCTCACATCTGAATGACATGGTGCCTGCAAGACGCCGCCGCCGCTATTGGGCCCTTCATGACAGGTCCACTTGAATGTTATGTGAATAAATGTTAAAGTGGAACTCTGCCATTGAGAGAGGAAAGTGAAGAGGCGTCTTCTATACACAAGCTATGATTGGATCCTTGTAATAAGATTACGGTGATGGGTCCCCGGGAAGGGTCGCTGCGATGGGTCCCCGGGAAGAGTCGCTGCGATGGGTCCCCGGGAAGAGTCGCTGCGATGGGTCCCCGGGAAGAGTCGCTGCGATGGGTCCCCGGGAAGAGTCGCTGCGATGGGTCCCCGGGAAGAGTCGCTGCGATGGGTCCCCGGGAAGAGTCGCTGCGATGGGTCCCCGGGAAGAGTCGCTGCGATGGGTCCCCGGGAAGAGTCGCTGCGATGGGTCCCCGGGAAGAGTCGCTGCGATGGGTCCCCGGGAAGAGTCGCTGCGATGGGTCCCCGGGAAGAGTCGCTGCGATGGGTCCCCGGGAAGAGTCGCTGCGATGGGTCCCCGGGAAGAGTCGCTGCGATGGGTCCCCGGGAAGAGTCGCTGCGATGGGTCCCCGGGAAGAGTCGCTGCGATGGGTCCCCGGGAAGAGTCGCTGCGATGGGTCCCCGGGAAGAGTCGCTGCGATGGGTCCCCGGGAAGAGTCGCTGCGATGGGTCCCCGGGAAGAGTCGCTGCGATGGGTCCCCGGGAAGAGTCGCTGCGATGGGTCCCCGGGAAGAGTCGCTGCGATGGGTCCCCGGGAAGAGTCGCTGCGATGGGTCCCCGGGAAGAGTCGCTGCGATGGGTCCCCGGGAAGAGTCGCTGCGATGGGTCCCCGGGAAGAGTCGCTGCGATGGGTCCCCGGGAAGAGTCGCTGCGATGGGTCCCCGGGAAGAGTCGCTGCGATGGGTCCCCGGGAAGAGTCGCTGCGATGGGTCCCCGGGAAGAGTCGCTGCGATGGGTCCCCGGGAAGGGTGGCTGCGATGGGTCCCTGGGAACGATTCCATGTTCTGCAGCTTCTCCCTGAAGGTGACACTTGGGGGCAGAATAGGAGATCGGTGGAGAATTTACAGTAAGGTTCACCAATGGTGAGCAGAGGGATCTTCCAGGGCTGAGAGGCAGAACAGGCATTTGGACCTTTATAAGAGGTCCAGCTGCCAGAACTGCCCGTAGAACCCGCGTGCCAGCCGTGTCCAGAGAAGCAGAGGGCGGTTGGCCGGACTTTCAGGTCTGATCGCGTGCTCGGCCTTCATAGAACATGTCCAGCGGCACTGAGAGCGGGAAGTAGTCCCCGGTCCAAGAAGTCTGTTTCACCCTCTCGGTGTCCAGCACTGTAAGAGTGTCCATGTTATGTCCCTAAACGTGACCGTGTGCTGATCGCAGGCTTCATTCACCCCAGGTCAGTAATTCCTTCTCTTGTCTGTACAGAATGGAGCAGAATGAGCGTTCACCGTCCAGGACCGGGGCCCGCCGTCCACAGGGAGCGTACCTGAGAAAACAACACAACCCCCATGAATAAGAATAAGAACATCCGGTACCGATCCGACGATCACAACATCATTCCTCAACTCTCGCTTCTGGACCGGGGCGGAGCTTACAAGATCACATGACCCGAACCCAGGTCTGAGGCGGCTGGAACGAGATCGATCCATACAGGGGGGGGATAATGGGTCTCGGAGGATTCTATGGACAGCCAAGTTGGGGGCCCCGAGGATAAAGTGCACTGAACCCCAAAGTTTAGGTCCGCTACAGGCGAGTAAGGAGGACTGAGGAGCTGCAAGCGGCATCAATGTACCTGGCCTTGCCATAAGCCCCCGTGGCATGCTGGTCCTGGCCGTGAGGTCTATGCGGGCGGGCAATTGAGTTAGGAGTCGTCCAGTCGGATATGTTTCTACGGATGATTCACCGGGACTTGAATGAGGGTATGCACTGAACCCCAAAGTTTAGGTCCGCTACAGGCGAGTAAGGAGGACTGAGGAGCTGCAAGCGGCATCAATGTACCTGGCCTTGCCATAAGCCCCCGTGGCATGCTGGTCCTGGCCGTGAGGTCTATGCGGGCGGGCAATTGAGTTAGGAGTCGTCCAGTCGGATATGTTTCTACGGATGATTCACCGGGACTTGAATGAGGGTTTGGTCCCCGAGGGCTCCTATTCACCCCATCCGCCCCCCCCCCCCCCCACTAACCCTACATCCGCTCCAACATTGCCCCTAACCCTACATCCGCGCCTACATCGCCCCTAACCCTACATCCGCGCCAACATCGCCCCTAACCCTACATCCGCGCCTACATCGCCCCCAACTGAACCCTACATCCGCGCCTACATCGCCCCAACTGAACCCTACATCCGCGCCTACATCACCCCAACTGAACCCTACATCCGCGCCTACATCTCCCCTAACCCTACATCCGCTCCAACATTGCCCCTAACCCTACATCCGCGCCTACATCGCCCCTAACCCTACATCCGCGCCAACATCGCCCCTAACCCTACATCCGCGCCTACATCGCCCCCAACTGAACCCTACATCCGCGCCTACATCGCCCCAACTGAACCCTACATCCGCGCCTACATCACCCCAACTGAACCCTACATCCGCGCCTACATCTCCCCTAACCCTACATCCGCTCCAACATTGCCCCTAACCCTACATCCGCGCCTACATCGCCCCTAACCCTACATCCGCGCCAACATCGCCCCTAACCCTACATCCGCGCCTACATCGCCCCCAACTGAACCCTACATCCGCGCCTACATCGCCCCAACTGAACCCTACATCCGCGCCTACATCACCCCAACTGAACCCTACATCCGCGCCTACATCTCCCCTAACCCTACATCCGCTCCAACATTGCCCCTAACCCTACATCCGCGCCTACATCGCCCCTAACCCTACATCCGCGCCAACATCGCCCCTAACCCTACATCCGCGCCTACATCGCCCCCAACTGAACCCTACATCCGCGCCTACATCGCCCCAACTGAACCCTACATCCGCGCCTACATCACCCCAACTGAACCCTACATCCGCGCCTACATCTCCCCTAACCCTACATCCGCTCCAACATTGCCCCTAACCCTACATCCGCGCCTACATCGCCCCTAACCCTACATCCGCGCCAACATCGCCCCTAACCCTACATCCGCGCCTACATCGCCCCCAACTGAACCCTACATCCGCGCCTACATCGCCCCAACTGAACCCTACATCCGCGCCTACATCACCCCAACTGAACCCTACATCCGCGCCTACATCTCCCCTAACCCTACATCCGCTCCAACATTGCCCCTAACCCTACATCCGCGCCTACATCGCCCCTAACCCTACATCCGCGCCAACATCGCCCCTAACCCTACATCCGCGCCTACATCGCCCCCAACTGAACCCTACATCCGCGCCTACATCGCCCCAACTGAACCCTACATCCGCGCCTACATCACCCCAACTGAACCCTACATCCGCGCCTACATCTCCCCTAACCCTACATCCGCTCCAACATTGCCCCTAACCCTACATCCGCGCCTACATCGCCCCTAACCCTACATCCGCGCCAACATCGCCCCTAACCCTACATCCGCGCCTACATCGCCCCCAACTGAACCCTACATCCGCGCCTACATCGCCCCAACTGAACCCTACATCCGCGCCTACATCACCCCAACTGAACCCTACATCCGCGCCTACATCTCCCCTAACCCTACATCCGCTCCAACATTGCCCCTAACCCTACATCCGCGCCTACATCGCCCCTAACCCTACATCCGCGCCAACATCGCCCCTAACCCTACATCCGCGCCTACATCGCCCCCAACTGAACCCTACATCCGCGCCTACATCGCCCCAACTGAACCCTACATCCGCGCCTACATCACCCCAACTGAACCCTACATCCGCGCCTACATCTCCCCTAACCCTACATCCGCTCCAACATTGCCCCTAACCCTACATCCGCGCCTACATCGCCCCTAACCCTACATCCGCGCCAACATCGCCCCTAACCCTACATCCGCGCCTACATCGCCCCCAACTGAACCCTACATCCGCGCCTACATCGCCCCAACTGAACCCTACATCCGCGCCTACATCACCCCAACTGAACCCTACATCCGCGCCTACATCTCCCCTAACCCTACATCCGCTCCAACATTGCCCCTAACCCTACATCCGCGCCTACATCGCCCCTAACCCTACATCCGCGCCAACATCGCCCCTAACCCTACATCCGCGCCTACATCGCCCCCAACTGAACCCTACATCCGCGCCTACATCGCCCCAACTGAACCCTACATCCGCGCCTACATCACCCCAACTGAACCCTACATCCGCGCCTACATCTCCCCTAACCCTACATCCGCTCCAACATTGCCCCTAACCCTACATCCGCGCCTACATCGCCCCTAACCCTACATCCGCGCCAACATCGCCCCTAACCCTACATCCGCGCCTACATCGCCCCCAACTGAACCCTACATCCGCGCCTACATCGCCCCAACTGAACCCTACATCCGCGCCTACATCACCCCAACTGAACCCTACATCCGCGCCTACATCTCCCCTAACCCTACATCCGCTCCAACATTGCCCCTAACCCTACATCCGCGCCTACATCGCCCCTAACCCTACATCCGCGCCAACATCGCCCCTAACCCTACATCCGCGCCTACATCGCCCCCAACTGAACCCTACATCCGCGCCTACATCGCCCCAACTGAACCCTACATCCGCGCCTACATCACCCCAACTGAACCCTACATCCGCGCCTACATCTCCCCTAACCCTACATCCGCTCCAACATTGCCCCTAACCCTACATCCGCGCCTACATCGCCCCTAACCCTACATCCGCGCCAACATCGCCCCTAACCCTACATCCGCGCCTACATCGCCCCCAACTGAACCCTACATCCGCGCCTACATCGCCCCAACTGAACCCTACATCCGCGCCTACATCACCCCAACTGAACCCTACATCCGCGCCTACATCTCCCCTAACCCTACATCCGCTCCAACATTGCCCCTAACCCTACATCCGCGCCTACATCGCCCCTAACCCTACATCCGCGCCAACATCGCCCCTAACCCTACATCCGCGCCTACATCGCCCCCAACTGAACCCTACATCCGCGCCTACATCGCCCCAACTGAACCCTACATCCGCGCCTACATCACCCCAACTGAACCCTACATCCGCGCCTACATCTCCCCTAACCCTACATCCGCTCCAACATTGCCCCTAACCCTACATCCGCGCCTACATCGCCCCTAACCCTACATCCGCGCCAACATCGCCCCTAACCCTACATCCGCGCCTACATCGCCCCCAACTGAACCCTACATCCGCGCCTACATCGCCCCAACTGAACCCTACATCCGCGCCTACATCACCCCAACTGAACCCTACATCCGCGCCTACATCTCCCCTAACCCTACATCCGCTCCAACATTGCCCCTAACCCTACATCCGCGCCTACATCGCCCCTAACCCTACATCCGCGCCAACATCGCCCCTAACCCTACATCCGCGCCTACATCGCCCCCAACTGAACCCTACATCCGCGCCTACATCGCCCCAACTGAACCCTACATCCGCGCCTACATCACCCCAACTGAACCCTACATCCGCGCCTACATCTCCCCTAACCCTACATCCGCTCCAACATTGCCCCTAACCCTACATCCGCGCCTACATCGCCCCTAACCCTACATCCGCGCCAACATCGCCCCTAACCCTACATCCGCGCCTACATCGCCCCCAACTGAACCCTACATCCGCGCCTACATCGCCCCAACTGAACCCTACATCCGCGCCTACATCACCCCAACTGAACCCTACATCCGCGCCTACATCTCCCCTAACCCTACATCCGCTCCAACATTGCCCCTAACCCTACATCCGCGCCTACATCGCCCCTAACCCTACATCCGCGCCAACATCGCCCCTAACCCTACATCCGCGCCTACATCGCCCCCAACTGAACCCCACATCCGCGCCTACATCGCCCCAACTGAACCCTACATCCGCGCCTACATCACCCCAACTGAACCCTACATCACTTGCGCCTACATCGCCCCAACTGAACCCTACATCGCCCCTAACCCTACATCCGCGCCTACATCGCCCCAACTGAACCCTACATCCGCTCCAACATCGCCCCTAACCCTACATCATCCGCGCCAACATCGCCCCTAACCCTACATCATCCGCGCCAACATCGCCCTAACCCTACATCCGTGCCAACATCGCCCTAACCCTACATCCGCGCCAACATCGCCCCTAACCCTACATCTGCGCCTACATCGCCCCAACTGAACCCTACATCATCCGCGCCTACATCGCCCCCAACTGAACCCTACATCATCCGCGCCAACATCGCCCTAACCCTACATCCGCTCCAACATCGCCCCAACTGAACCCTACATCCGCGCCTACATCGCACCTAACCCTACATCATCCGCGCCAACATGGCCCCTAACCCTACATCCGTTCCAACATCGCCCCTAACCCTACATTCGCGCCTACATCGCCCCTAACCCTACATCCGCGCCTACATCGCCCCCACTGAACCCTTCATCATCCGCGCCTACATCGCCCCTAACCCTACATCCGCGCCTACATCGCCCCTAACCCTACATCCGCTCCAACATCGCCCCTAACCCTACATCCGCTCCAACATCGCCCCAACTGAACCCTTCATCTGCTCCAACATCGCCCCAACTGAACCCTTCATCTGCTCCAACATCGCCCCAACTGAACCCCCAGCTCCCCACAGCTGATGGCCCTAATGGACGGTACCAGGCAACGAGGAATGTGGAACTCACTGTTCTTGGTCTTCACATGAACTGGAGCGGCAGACTTCTCAGATTCGGGCATCAGACCTGGAACACGGGATGAGGAGAGTTATTTCTGGTATCGGAAACCGAACGCACACACACAACATCCTGACCTGACCTGTGTATGGCTTCCTCTATAATGTTCAGATGCATCTCTATTCCTCGTCCCTAATCAGCATTTTAGGCAGTTTCAAGGGGCAGAATTAAAGATATTTCCATACCATGTTATCCACGGAAAGTCTACAACTAGGAAGCAGGTACCAGCCCGTGATGACCAAAGCTCAGTATGGAGTCTCTGCTTCTAGATAAATCCCACAATGCGCCTAACCCTTCCAGCTGGTCTTACCTTTGTAGGTCATTACGAATCCTTGACCATTGTGTGTGCGGTCAGACGTGAAGGTGATCTGAAGACCTCCGGTCGGGAAGGTGATCGCGTTGGGGGGATCTTGGCCTCCATTTATTTGAATGAGAAGACTTCCATCTTGTTTATCTCTCACCTCTAGAATATCATTCGGATCTTCAACATGAAAGATATGAAACTCCATCTCAATGGCGGCCGCCCCCGGGATGCGAATATCCCACCGACAAGTTCTGTCTGGACTGTATTCATCGGGATAGTCCGGAGAGTACAGGACCCCGGACATAGAAGAGAAGTTCCCGCTGCAGGCCCCGATCCATGCTGCAGAGAAAGCACAGTGCAGGAACTATGGGGGTGACTACGTAAAAGATGGATGGATAATCGTTGCCCATTTGCCTGCATATCGGGGGCCCGCTCTCTTAAAGGGGAAGTCTCATGAAAATGACCCGCCGGTCTCTTCATTCATCTCTAAATCATTTTCTCTGCCGTCCCGTCTTCATCATTTTTGGGAGGGGAGCTCCGCCCCCTCCCAAATCTGGATTTTTGGGTGTTCCTTCTCCGAAGCTCGAGCTGAGGCCAATGGCAATGGCCAATGAGCTCTGCCCATTCGGTTGAGCACCGCCCATTCTGTACAGCACTGCCCCCCTATTTAGCATTTCCCCCTCTGAGCACTGCCCTCTCTTTTAAGCAACGCCCCCTGTGATGAGCACCGCCCACTCTAATGAGCACCGCCCATTCTATTGAGCACTGCCCCCACTATTGAGCTCTGCCCATTCTGTTGAGCACCACCCACTCTGTTGAGCACCGCACCCCTATTTAGCACTTCCCCTCTCTGAGTACCACCCTCTCTTATAAGCAACGCCCCCTCTTTACAACACTGCCCATTCTATTGAAGCCGCAGACCTCGCTGGCCTTCCCGAAGCAGGTGTGATCACACCGGGAGCCGCTGACCCGCTGCAACGCGGCGACATCGGAAGGACCGCCGCAGAAACAGGCGTATCCCGCCTCCAGACCTGCGTACTGACACACAGATCGGACATCAGCAACTCGTACCGACATTCCGGAGGAGGCGGAGCTTCTGATGGACAATGTCAGGAGATATTCCCTTCATCAGGATCACAAACGGATCCTTCAAATGGAATTTACAGCAACGCAGGTTACCATCGGGTCTACCGCAGCCTCTTTGCAGCCACTTCCTGATGGTGACAACAGTGGACCGTGTCTGTGCAGCAGTGACGTGCGGTACCTCCCGTGCTGGGCGAGGCATTCTCCCTGCCCCTCCCCACCCCCCCCATGTAATAAAGACCGCTCCCTGCTGCTCTCTCTCCTTGTGCAGGGTGACCGGTCTTGTCTCCGCCCCCTCCTGTAATAAAGACCGCTCATTGCTGTTCTCTCGCCTTGTGCAGGGTGACTGGTCTTGTCTCCGCCCCCTCCTGTAATACAAACCGCCCACTGCTTCTCTCTCTCCTTGTGCAAGGTGACTGGTCTTGACTCCGCCCCCTCCTGTTTCCTGTAGTGGGTGGATCCTTCTGGGCTCCTCCCACAGCTTTGCACTCTGCACAGTGATGACGTCACTGCTTCTACAAGGTAATATCTGGGTTTGCAATGGCATTTGGTGCTCACAACGTGGATTTATGTCCTGTGTGGCCATGGAGGAATATATTTAAATAAAGATTTGGGTGGCCGGAGTTCCCCTTTAAGCCCCTCCTCTCCCTCCACTAACAGACTCCACCAGCCGGGAGATGGTCCTCCTCAGATGCCGGCTTTCTGGTACGAGTCATTTGGGCTCCTGTAGAGCCGTCCCATTACTTCGACCTCCTGCAGAAGATGACAACCCTGCCCTTCCCCCATACTCCCCGGGATCACCTGACCCCCCTGGGGGCCCAGGACCTCCGCGGTGGGAGATGAGTGACCATGCGTTCCTCAATCTGCCCCCGTGAAGGATGAACCTGGAGCCGCTCAGCTCCGATCACTTCCAGGTTCAAGCTGATCAGTCCTCTCCGGCAGAGCGCAGGGGCGACGTTAGACGTTTAATAGACCCCTGACGTCTCCTTAAAGAGAACCCGTCACCTGCACTATGCTATCACAAGTAATCTTCCGGCCTAAAAAGGGCTCCGGCAGCGACCGGACTAAAGCGGAACCCCGGCACGGCCTAAAACCCCCGTCTTAGTGAATGGAAGCTGACGGGCTGAAGATGCAACACAATGAGCCTCTCCGGGGGAGTCCAATGGTACTTCAGAATTAGAGTCAAGTGACCGAGATAAGGATCCTTAACCTGGTGTCAGCGGTCTGTGAATGGGACCTGATGTGGGTATTGGGGGGTCATGTGATCAGTCATGTGGGGGGTCATGTGGTCAGTCATGGCGTCAGTCATGTGGTCAGTCATGTCGGGGGTCATGTGGTCAGTCATGTGGTCAGTCATGTGGTCAGTCATAACGTCAGTCATGGCGTCAGTCATGTGGTCAGTCATGTGGTCAGCCATGTGGTCAGCCACATGGTCAGTCATGGCGTCAGTCACGTGGTCAGTCACGTGGTCAGTCATGTGGTCAGTCACGTGGTCAGTCACATGATCAGTCATGGCTTCAGCCATTTGGTCAGTCACGTGGTCAGTCATGGCTTCAGTCACGTGGTCAGTCACGTGGTCAGTCATGGTGTCAGTCATGTGGTCAGTCACGTGGTCAGTCATAACGTCAGTCATGTGGTCAGTCACGTGGTCAGTCACGTGGTCAGTCACGTGGTCAGTCACGTGGTCAGTCACGTGGTCAGTCACGTGGTCAGTCATGGCTTCAGTCACATGGTCAGTCACGTGGTCAGTCACGTGGTCAGTCATGGCTTCAGTCACGTGGTCAGTCACGTGGTCAGTCAGGCGTGTGGGGAGGTATGACGGAGTACCTGATACTCTCTGATGCGGCAGAACTGGATGCAGGTTTGGACGGTCAGCTTTCCTGAGGTGCCGCTGGTCCCCGAGAGAGCCGGAGGAGAGCCGTAGTCCACAAAGCATCCGATGTAGCCGGGCACTGCGGAGAGACACGTGTCACCATTCATGGGAGGGAACCCGGACATTGGTCATCTCCCGGGGGAAACGCTGCTTCTAGCTCCATCCGGTGCTGGTCGTGTGACCAAACGCCCGGGGGAGGGAGGAGAGTGGCGTCTGCCCCGGGTGCTATGTTGTGGAACTAGTTCATGGGGGAAGGGGGTGGGGGGCATACTAAACCGTTCCCACCCTTACCCGTCCGGGATCCTCGGGGGAGGGACATAATCTGCCCAGAATTCCCGGGATTATTATAAGTCATGTGATGGTGGCGGGACCCCCAAATGGTGATGTCACCCGTCCGGTAATGTGATCACGCTGACCTATCTCTGTGCACCCAACCGATCATAACAACGATCAATGAAACCATCACTTGTATGACTGATCAGTCGGCGTGTTCCTGACACGCGGGGGCCACGATCAATGATCACATGGTACAGCACAACTGACGTGAAGGTGAAATGTTCCTACAAAGATGAGGAGACCCGGTGCCGGGGCCCGGGAGAGGAGACCCGGTGCCGGATCCCGGGAGAGGAGACCCGGTGCCGGATCCCGGGAGAGGAGACCCGGTGCCGGATCCCGGGAGAGGAGACCCGGTGCTGGAGCCCAGGAGAGGAGACCCGGTAGGGATGTCTGGAATGATCTTCCTCCCGGAAGCGTGTGCGGTACTCACTGTGGCACGTCGGGATATCACAGAACTTCCAGTATTGTCCGTCTTCCGTCTCGGATACGTAGCACCACGGCTGGACATCGGAATCCGGATTCCTGCAGGAAAACACCGTTACTTGTGGGGTGACTCCGACCACATCCTGACCTTTCCACCTCAGCCGAAGAGTCAGAAGATGGAGACCTCCAGAGAGAAGGGCCGGTGAATGGCGAGAGAAGGGCCGGTGAATGGCGAGAGAAGGGCCGGTGAATGGCGAGAGAAGGGCCGGTGAATGGCGAGAGAAGGGCCGGTGAATGGCGAGAGAAGGGCCGGTGAATGGTGAGAGAAGGGCCGGTGAATGGCGAGAGAAGGGCCGGTGAATGGCGAGAGAAGAGCCGGTGAATCGTGAGAGAGGGGCCGGTGAATCGTGAGAGAGGGGCCGGTGAATCGTGAGAGAAGGGCCGGTGAATCGTGAGAGAAGGGTCGGTGAATCGCGTGAGATTTCATATGGGAGGGTTATGAGGTCTTCATGAAGAGGGGTGGAGCCTCAGGAGACTCCGTCCAGATGTGGCCCCCATCATCCGTACCGGTGGAGTTACCTGCAGTGGTTGTGGCTCCCGAGTCCCAGTTCTCCGGATGGGTCGGCATGCGTGTTGAAGCGGTGCTGGACGGTCTGGTTCCAGTAGAGACACGGGACTTCTTCTGCTCCGGCGTGGTTCACAGATCCCCGATAGTCCTTCCCGTTCACTGTAAAGCATTCTGAATGTTCTGAACGTGAAAAGAGAAGAATCCACACGGATTAGATTGTCAGCTCTGCGCACCAGGCTCGTGAGATACAGTCCTAGCACTGTGCTGACAACGGTAATAACTCTTCCAAGTCCCAACTTCAAAAGAGTGAAAACTTCAAAGGCTGATCCATCTGATCTGCCCCTCCCCCCATGGAGCAGAGACCCATAACATCCTTCTATCAATCCCACTTCAAAGGAGGCCCAGGAGCCGCCCCGACACGCCGGGAGCCCCAGGCAGGAATGCGATGTAGGGACAAGACATGAGATGAACTTACCCGGTGAGAGCGAGTAAACAATGCTGCAACCAGAACCCAGGTTAACCCTTTAGTCGGCGTGAAGACCCTCAATACACACCTGGGAGTGAGGCCTCGCACCCCACGTAGAGGACAAGAGCCAGGAGCAGCATCTTCCATGGAGGTGAAGCCTCACCGGAGGCCGAGGCCCAACTATGGAAACATGAGTGACAGTGAAGACAAAATACTATTCCAAGAAACCAGCCAAATATTCTGCAGGAGAGAAGCCCCACAAACCCACCTGAGGAGTACGGGGAGGAAGTCCCTCATAGAACCCCCTCGAAACCACCTGAGGAGTACGGGGAGGAAGTCCCTCATAGAACTCCCTCGAACACACCTGAGGAGTACGGGGAGGAAGTCCCTCATAGAAGCCCCACAAACCCACCTGAGGAGTACGGGGAGGAAGTCCCTCATAGAAGCCCCAAATCGTGAGAGAAGGGCCGGTGAATCGTGAGAGAAGGGCCGGTGAATCGTGAGAGAAGGGCCGGTGAATCGTGAGAGAAGGGTCGGTGAATCGCGTGAGATTTCATATGGGAGGGTTATGAGGTCTTCATGAAGAGGGGTGGAGCCTCAGGAGACTCCGTCCAGATGTGGCCCCCATCATCCGTACCGGTGGAGTTACCTGCAGTGGTTGTGGCTCCCGAGTCCCAGTTCTCCGGATGGGTCGGCATGCGTGTTGAAGCGGTGCTGGACGGTCTGGTTCCAGTAGAGACACGGGACTTCTTCTGCTCCGGCGTGGTTCACAGATCCCCGATAGTCCTTCCCGTTCACTGTAAAGCATTCTGAATGTTCTGAACGTGAAAAGAGAAGAATCCACACGGATTAGATTGTCAGCTCTGCGCACCAGGCTCGTGAGATACAGTCCTAGCACTGTGCTGACAACGGTAATAACTCTTCCAAGTCCCAACTTCAAAAGAGTGAAAACTTCAAAGGCTGATCCATCTGATCTGCCCCTCCCCCCATGGAGCAGAGACCCATAACATCCTTCTATCAATCCCACTTCAAAGGAGGCCCAGGAGCCGCCCCGACACGCCGGGAGCCCCAGGCAGGAATGCGATGTAGGGACAAGACATGAGATGAACTTACCCGGTGAGAGCGAGTAAACAATGCTGCAACCAGAACCCAGGTTAACCCTTTAGTCGGCGTGAAGACCCTCAATACACACCTGGGAGTGAGGCCTCGCACCCCACGTAGAGGACAAGAGCCAGGAGCAGCATCTTCCATGGAGGTGAAGCCTCACCGGAGGCCGAGGCCCAACTATGGAAACATGAGTGACAGTGAAGACAAAATACTATTCCAAGAAACCAGCCAAATATTCTGCAGGAGAGAAGCCCCACAAACCCACCTGAGGAGTACGGGGAGTAAACAATGCTGCAACCAGAACCCAGGTTAACCCTTTAGTCGGCGTGAAGACCCTCAATACACACCTGGGAGTGAGGCCTCGCACCCCACGTAGAGGACAAGAGCCAGGAGCAGCATCTTCCATGGAGGTGAAGCCTCACCGGAGGCCGAGGCCCAACTATGGAAACATGAGTGACAGTGAAGACAAAATACTATTCCAAGAAACCAGCCAAATATTCTGCAGGAGAGAAGCCCCACAAACCCACCTGAGGAGTACGGGGAGGAAGTCCCTCATAGAACCCCCTCGAAACCACCTGAGGAGTACGGGGAGGAAGTCCCTCATAGAACTCCCTCGAACACACCTGAGGAGTACGGGGAGGAAGTCCCTCATAGAAGCCCCACAAACCCACCTGAGGAGTACGGGGAGGAAGTCCCTCATAGAAGCCCCACAAACCCACCTGAGGAGTACGGGGAGGAAGTCCCTCATAGAAGCCCCTCGAACCCACCTGAGGAGTACGGGGAGGAAGTCCCTCATAGAAGCCCCACAAACCCACCTGAGGAGGACGGGGAGGAAGTCCCTAATAGAAGCCCCACAAACCCACCTGAGGAGTACGGGGAGGAAGTCCCTCATAGAAGCCCCACAAACCCACCTGAGGAGTACGGGGAGGAAGTCCCTCATAGAAGCCCCACAAACCCACCTGAGGAGTACGGGGAGGAAGTCCCTCATAGAAGCCCCACAAACCCACCTGAGGAGTACGGGGAGGAAGTCCCTCATAGAAGCCCCACAAACCCACCTGAGGAGTACGGGGAGGAAGTCCCTCATAGAAGCCCCACAAACCCACCTGAGGAGTACGGGGAGGAAGTCCCTCATAGAAGCCCCACAAACCCACCTGAGGAGTACGGGGAGGAAGTCCCTCATAGAAGCCCCACAAACCCACCTGAGGAGTACGGGGAGGAAGTCCCTCATAGAAGCCCCACAAACCCACCTGAGGAGTACGGGGAGGAAGTCCCTCATAGAAGCCCCACAAACCCACCTGAGGAGTACGGGGAGGAAGTCCCTCATAGAAGCCCCACAAACCCACCTGAGGAGTACGGGGAGGAAGTCCCTCATAGAAGCCCCACAAACCCACCTGAGGAGTACGGGGAGGAAGTCCCTCATAGAACCCCCTCGAACCCACCTGAGGAGTACGGGGAGGAAGTCCCTCATAGAAGCCCCACAGGTCAGGAGGGTCCAAGTATCTTCACAGTCTTCAATACGACGTTGGGGGGTCTCCTCAGTGTGGTCCAGTGGTGGACCCCAAAACACTTCTTCTCCAGGAAGAGCTCCCAGTCCAGAGAGATGGCAGATTTGTCACATGAAGGGAACCCAGTCTAGGTATTGTGATGGCATTTCTGAGACCCCCGGCATACAGTATATAGGTAACCCTCTACGTATGCTGCCACGATACACCCCCCAACCCTCTACGTATGCTGCGATAGACCCCCCAACCCTCTACGTATGCTGCGATAGACCCCCCAACCCTCTACGTATGCCTTGCTATGAC